AGCCAGTGCCTGAAGAGAGCTGGTGGGGGTTCCTAAGAAGTGCTTGCAATACATTTTCTAGAAATACATGATATTAGGCCATTCAGCTGAAAAGAGCCATTCCAAAGGACTATTATTATGGACAACCATGCTGGCCTGTGGTAGTCATTTTGCTATTACTGTCACAAGACATGTAAGATAATCAACTTATAAGAGGTAAAAGGTTTTTTTGGCTTACTATTTTAGAGGTTTCAGTGCATGGTCAGTTGGCACAATTGGGCAGGATAGAATACCTCATAGTGTTCAGGAAGCAGAGAGAGAGAATGACACAGACACACACAGAGAGACAGAGAGGCAAACTGAGACCAAAACAGATGGAGACAAAGAGAGAGATGAAAGCACTGGGGTCCCAATATCCCTTTCAAGGCCTCACACCCAAAGACCTCACTTCCTCCCATTAGGCCCCACCTTTTTCAAGTTTCCATCACTTCCCCATAGTGTCATGGACTGGGGACCAAACCTTAGACATATGTACTTTTGGGGAACACTTCTCCAAACTGTAGCATGGCCCTGTCATAGCTAGGGGTCTTCATGACTGGAATTGGGTCCCCTGGGATCACTCATGATGAAATCTGCTTTTTTAATATTTTAATTTTGCATCTGTTTGCCAGTACTGGGATTTGAACTCAAGACATTACACTCTTGCTTGGTTTTTCTGCTTAAGGCGTATGCTCTACCACTACTTTCTGCTTTTTTGGTAGTTACTTGGAGATTAAAAATCTCATGGAACTTTCCTGTCCATGCTGGCATCAAACCTTAATCCTCAAATCTCAGCCTGCTGAGTAGCTAGGATTATAGGCATGGGTCATCAGCACTTGGCTTGGAATTTGCTTATGAAGGGTCTGCTTGAGCCGAGCACTGGTGGCTCATGCCTATAATCCTAGCTACTCAGGAGGCTGAGACCTGAGGATTGAGATTTGAAGCTAGCCCAAGCAGGAAAGTCGATGAGACTCTTACTTTCAATTAACCACCAAAAAGCTAGAAGTGAAGCTATGGCTCAAGTAGGAGTGCTATATCTGAGTGTTATCCATAGGCTCAGAGACAGGGATCAGACCCTGAGTTCAAAGCCCTAGTACTGGCACTAAACGGGGTTGGGGGAGATTGTTTGAGGCCCTACAAGGATGAAGACTTGTTGAGAGTTATTGGATGCAGTCCTTGCAGGAATAGAAAAGGCAAGTGTGGCTTTGGATGCAGAGGGTAGATGGTACCTACAGTTAATTGTTCAATTACCAGTAGGCTTTAGGGTGAATAAGAAAGCATGTGGAATATGAGTCCTTTCACCTGGGGAGAAGTCCTTGGACCTGAGAATGCAGATAATACAGACTGCATCTGCTGGCCTTTGGAAAGAAGATAGGATTTCTTTTGTCTTTGTAATAACTGCTAGGGTGTGTCCTAGTCTGGTTGAATGCATGTTCAGTAACATCCCACTTTTCTTGTTTTCCATATTGGTAGATAAGTATTCTGGGTTGTCAGGGACTCGTCTATATCATCTATTTTTTATTTTTATTTGGGAATACTTGAGTTTGAAACTCATGATCTCAAGCTTACCAGCTAGGTAGTATACTGCTAAACCTTGTTCCCAGGTCTTTTTTTTTTTTTAATGATATTATAATGTTTGGAGGTTTTTTGGGTCCGGTTGTGGGGCCTGAACTCTGGGCCTGGGCGCTGTCCCTCAGCTCTTCAGCTCAAGGCTAGCACTCTACCACTTGAGCCATAGCGCCACTTCCGGCTTTTTTAATTCTTCTGCTTATGTGGTGCTGAGGAATTGAACCCAGGGCCTCATGCATGCAAGGCAAGCGCTCTACCACTGAGCCACTTTCCCAGCCCTCTCAGGTCTTTTTATGTGCTGGCTATTGTGTGTGTGTGTGTGTGTGTGTGTGTGTGTGTGTGTGTGTGTACCACTATATCCAATTGTCATTTGGGTTGGAGTTTTACTCCCAAGCTCTAGCCTCAAAATGAAATCCTCATGCTTTCAGCCTCCTAAGTTGCTAGAATTACAGGTGTGAGCCACTGGACTCCAGCTCTCAGGGTGTTTTTGTTTGTTTGATTCATTGTTGTTGTTGTTGTGTTTTGCCAGTCCTGGGGCTTGGATGGTGTGGGCACCATCCAAGGCTAGCACTCTACCACTTGAGCCATAGCACCACTTGTGGCTTTTTTTATTTATGTGGTACTGAAGAATCAAGCCCAGGGCTTCATGCATGCTTGGCAAGCACTTTACTACTTAAGCCACCTTCCCAGCCATTTTATTTTTTGTTTTTGTTGTTTTTCCCGTCAACAGCACAAGGTCTGCCTTCCAAGTTATTGTCAGTGGCAGTTGGACAACTGTTTTGTTGTGACCTAACATGGGCTCAGCAGTGTGTCTCTCTATTGCTCTATACCCAACCAGCAATATTCCCATAGTTTGTTATAGACATGCTCCATTTTAAAGAACATGGGGCGGTGTGGGGGTGGGGGTTGATGTTAGGCCAGGAAGAGCACATGTATCTCAGTTCACAATGAAGTAAGAGTTTACTTCTGGTTCATGGCATGGTTTCCTACAGGTCAGAGGCCCCCCTGCCCCATGTAAGGAAGGGGCTTCAGGACTCTGGCTCCTGCCATCTTCAACAGGAGAGAGATTTCGAAGCAGGAAGTGAAGGTCAGGCCTCAAATAAAACATAGACAATTGTCACATGAGAATCTTGGAGTTGTCAACTTTCAATAAGCCAAAGGAAGGAAACCAACCAGACCTAAGCATATGGTGGAGACCTGGATCCCAAATCACCCAGTGTTCTAATGAAATACAGAGTTGATGTTGGATGTTCAATGAGGCCTACTGGAAGGTCATCAGGTCACTGAAGATGTAGCCGTTAGAAGAAATTAATGTAGAGCTAGGGGCAGAACTCAAGTGGAGGAATGCTCACCTAGTAAGCATGAAGCCCTGGATTCCATCTCCAACATGGCAAAAGAAAACAGGAGAGGATTAATCTAGGTCTCATGGGAACCCAGTCACTCTCTGTGTCTGTCTGTCTGTCTGTCTGTCTTTCTCTCTCTTATATGAGCATTCCCTCATGCACACTCTCCTGCATGTTACAACTACCACCACCAGATCCTCACCAGAGCCCTCACTGCCAGCACAATAGCTTTGAGCCTTCAAAACAGTGAGCTAAATAAACCTCTTTTCTTTGTGCAGTGCTCAGCCTCAGGTATTTCGTGATAGTAATAGAAAACAGAATCATATATTCAGGAGGCTACCTGATTTGGTTCAGGACCCCATAGTCCAGATTTGAGGACTGGAGAGATTTATTGGCATAAGGGCTCTGTAGACCAAGGGATTTGACATCAGGAATCTTGAGTTCGAGCTCTGGCTTGATTCTGACTTGACTATCATTTCTCCAGGTCTCTGGGTCCTCCTCTAGGAAAATGTGTATTCTGTAACATGTATTAAGAAAGATGATGCTGGGAGGTGGGGGGAAATGCTTTGAAGACACACATGTCTAACCAGATATGAGGGAAGTACTCCGATGCTTCCAGAAAGCCTTTATCTAAAAACATTACACATAGTACAGACCTTGTCCCCACCCGAGGCATAGTTTCCAAAAAAACAGTCACTCTGATCTGTCTTTGCCCCACCCATCCCCACCCTAGCTTTGGGATTTCCTATGTTAGGTATTTCTGTCTGTTAATTACAACTCTTCTAAGCCATCTGTTCCCAGACCATGTCCTCTGCTTCTGCCGCTCCAACAGTTTCCCAGAGCTGGACCTGATTTGATACAGCACAGCACATCCTTTGATATCTGGAGGAGAGCCAGGCTGGACTTCCAGATTCCCCTGTGTCCCCATTGGTCAGCCTTATTCAAGACTTCACCTCTCTGGGTTTGATGTATAAAGATCAGGATTTGAATGTAGTGAGTGCTGTTGTAATTCATAGGTGGAGGGACAGGGTCTGGGAGGGGAATCAGAAATGTGAGTTCCTGGCTGGCTAAGTCCCATAATGGAGCCTCCTTCCTCCAAGGTCTTACCAAGGTCCCCACCATTCTGTCCTCTGTAGGGACAAGTGCCAATTGACTACCTATAGACAGAGCCATCAGAGACCATTCCTCAGAGGAGACAAGAGCACTGGGCTCGGAATCCTAGTGGACTGGCCTAAGAAAGTAGCAATGTACTTGGCTTTGGCCTGAGCCCTCCTGCCTCAGTGCCCTCTGATATGCCCCACCTCACTTATCAATTTCCTGTCTCCCTCTTCCCATCCACAAATCCTAATGACGGTGGAACTCTTTGTCACCTCCTCCCATCCTAAAGCCCTTCGAGGGCTGTTTCAGTAATGTACTGGAAAGCTGACGTTCGAGTACACATACATTTTATTAGCCATAAAACAAAAGGGTCATGTGCCCAGCATCTTTTATAGTTTAATAGCCCAGAATTATTCCATCTCTCCCCTTCTCTGCCCTGAGCGGCTCCCTGCCCCTAAGGGCTCCATGAGGGCTGGCATTCAGGGAGCTCCATCAAGGAGGAGGTCTTCTAAGATGGCAGAGTAGTCTCACAAGCTTGGGGGACAAAGGAGGTAAGGATCAAATATCCTCACTGGGTTTTCCTTTTTAAGACTTTGATAGGATTTGCTATAGACTGCCTTAGCTCAGGATGCAAACGAAGGGTGATTCTTTGGCTTTTAATCTGCTGGGTGAGGGCGTTCTGAAAAAGACCATAGGTGCTCCTCCTTCTGCCTGAGGAAAACAGGAGCCTGAGGCCTGTGGGGGAGGACTTGGGGGCGGGGCAGGCAGTTCAGTCCTGCTGGAGGATAGGTAGCTTTGGGAAGGGTCCTGGGGACAAGCTACTGGCTGTCCTACCCCTATCTCTTTGGCTCTGCCCTGTGTCTTAGCCCTTGTCAAGTTCCCCTGGTCCTGAACACAAAGGTCAGTCATGCTGGGGCCTCTTCCATCTGTGAAATCACAGGGTTCTCCTTCTAGGAAGGCACTGCCTCCAAGCCAGGGTCATCATGGAAAAGAAACTGGAATGGGGGGACCCTGGGGCCAAGTTCAGCTGGGATGATGGCAGATTAGCAATCATCTCTACTCAGAAATAGGCCCTGTGCTCTCTTCCATGCCTCCTGGCCTGGTTCCTCGAGCCACCTCGAGTCCCAGGCTCAGCCAACTGCCAGGCACGAGGCCTTCAGTGGGCACAATGGGGTACATGTGGGCCCCTTCACCTTGTGTATCTCACCCTTTAAGGCCTCCTGGCTTACTCTTCCTGGAGAAGGGGTTCTCGGTCTCCTCCCTGCACCCTCTCATCCTCCTCTTTTTCCATGCATCCCACAGTGGCAGCCAGCCCAGCCCCCACGCCACCCCCGACCACAGCAGCCCCAGTGGCCCCCACTGCTGCCCCCGCTGCCACCATCCCAGCTTCGGCAGCTAGCGCGGCTGCTGCCATACCAGCCCCCACCACACCCCCTGCCAGGCCCATGAGCCCGGCCCCCACAGCGCCCCCCACAGCAGCAAGGTGGCCACAGAAGCGCATAGTGTAGGAGTCCATGAAGGCCTTGGCCTTGGTCTGCAGCTCGGCCTCCAGGGCCTCCAAGGTCTGCTCTCGCTCCTTGCACAGCAAGGTCACACCGTGGCGGGCCAAGATGGCATCCTTCTGGGTGGACAGGAGGGTCCTCATGGTGTCGGGCAGGACCCGGAGCGCAGAGAAGATGCGCTTGGTGGCTATGTCCTGGATGACATCGAGGAGGAAAAAAGAAGGTAAGCTGGCCAGGAGACCCCAGGCGTCCCCTCCTTGGGATGGGCCCCACCTGGCCGGATCCTGGCCCCCCCCAGCAGGTCCTGGGGCTCACCTGCTGCCTCACAAACTCCTCAAATTCCTTCTTGGCAGCTTCCACCTTCCTCAGGTCATGTAGCTGAGCGGCCATCTGTCCACGGGAAAGCCCAGGCTGCCTCCCTCCTTCCTCCTCGGCCAGGGCTGCTGCCTGCTCCTCATCTCCATTCCCAGGGTGCACAGGCTCCCATCCCACCCCCAGACCCCATCCTTCCAGGGGAGGGTGGAGGGGGGCTCTGTACCTCATCTGGAGAGCTGAAACCAGGTCCTGTCCTCCCCATCCAGCCTGACAGGTTCTGCAGAGATAGCACGGCCTGGTCAGGGAAAGCAGGGACCTGCTGGGTGCTGGGGTTTCCAGGGAGTTTTCACACCTTGATCTCTTGAGCTAGCTGTTGTCCTGTGAGCAGGCGTCTGTCCCCCCTGGCCACGGTGCGCCCCTCACTCCAATACCCCTGGCAGCGGCTCTTAGCATGTTGAGGGGCTGTGCTCAGCACATCTGACACGTAGGCCCGGAGAAGTTGACCAAATTCATCTTCTGCATCTAAGAAAGAGATTCTTCAGGCTGAGGAGACCAAGCCTGGCTGACATTGGGTACCCCTAGGGGGCTTCAGGGAAGCTGTGAGGAGCAACTCCCAGAAATCTTGGCCCCTGAAGACACTCACCCCCTCCTGGGCTTCCTGAGCCTTTGTTCAGCCACTGCCTTCCGGAAGCAGGCAGCAGGTAGCAGCGGGCTCGTTTCCCTAGGAGCAGCTCCTGGACCTTGGGGTATTTGCTGGACAACTTCTGAAAGATGGATTGCAAGGAGCTCTAAGCCAGAGGAGCTACCTCCCTCTGGGAATCCCTGTTCCAGACCCTCCCCCACCCCCCAGCACCCCTCCCCCATCACCTGTTCTGCTCCTCCCCCTCTCTCTGCATTGCTCACCGGGAGGATGTCACCCACGTGCCCCTGCCCTGTCTTGCTGGAATGGGATGAGTCACGAACTAAGAGGTCCAGGTGCTGGAAGAGAAGAGGTTCTAACCCTAGTAGCTGGAAGGGGAAGGGTGTGAAGGTCAGGGCCGACAAGTGAGGGAACAGGTGTCTTACCTGGATCGGTACCATCCCATAATGCTTGCCCATCACCTCAGCCACATGAACAAACATCTGGGGATAGGCATAGAGAAAATCAGGGCTGTGCTCCAAGGGCTTTGATTCATTCTCCTGCCTCTCCCTGAACCGGGCACCTCATGCTTTATTTACCCTCTGCCCTCAAACCCACCCACCTACCAGTGCAAGTGGCACAAAGTTCTAAGCCAAAATGTCCTCCTGGCCTTCTGGGTGATGCTCAGGCATCAGAGGACATCTTACCTCCAGATAGCCCAGGTCTGTGTCCTTCAACTCCTGGGAGGTGTTCAGGATCTAGAACCAATGAGAAGAGGATGCTAATGGCTGCAAGACCAATGCCATGTGTTGGGAAGACCCAGGGCTCCCAGAAGTCTGTGGGACTGGGAATAAGGCTGGGCCCAGCCCCAAGGCCTCTGGGGCCTGAAGGACTACACTCATGACCAGGCAGGCCTAGGAAGCTCCTGTGGGGCCCTCTATGGGCCTCCACGGCCCCTGGAAAATATATTTCTAGAACAATCTATCTTCCCACTTTCACTAACTGGGAGACCTTTCTCCTTTACATTGGTACCCCCAGAACCTGCAGCAAGCCCATTTCACCAAAGCCTTTGAAATACCCCCAGCCTGGAGGAAGTTGAGCTGGAGAAGGGCACGTGGGATGGGTGTGCTTAGTCTGGGGCCTCTTGCACCTGGTAGGAGCTCAGCATCATGGTGAGAGCACACAGCTTGATCCTTGTCTCTCTGCTCAGTTCCGGGCTCATGGTGTCCCCCGTGTCTACCAGGAACACAGCCACCTATGCAGAGGGCAGGGGGATGAGACTCAGGGCTCAGGCCTACCTCTCTCTACCACATTCTTCCTCTTGTCACCCCTGAAGATCTCTCTCTCTCTCTGTCTCTTTTTCCCTCTCTCTCTTTTCTGGCTTGAACTCTGGGCCTTGGCTCTGTCTTTTGCTCAAGGCTAGTAGTGCTCTACCACTTGAGCCACAGCGCCACTTCTGGTTTTTTCTGAGTTTATTGGAGATAAGAATCTGAAGGACTTTCCTGTCCAGGCTGGCTTCGAACTGCGATCCTCAGATCTCAGCCTACTGAGTAGCTAGGATTATAGGCATGCATCACGGGCGCCTGGCACCCGAAGATCCGATCCCCTCCTCTTCCTCTATTTCTGTTTCTCCCACTTCTTCTGCCCTTTCTCCCTTACCTTCTTCCCTTCTTTCCCCAGCAGGAAAGGGTGGCTCCACATCCAAATGCCCCTGGTGAGCCCACTGGCACCCCACCTGTACCCCTGCAAGGACCCTTCTCCTCCTTTGGGCCAGTTGCCCTCACCAGACTCCTGCAGGGAGAGAAAGAGCATCCACTGGTTCATGCCCCTTCCCCACAGACCAGGCTCCAGACTTGGGGCTCCTGTCTCGATCCCCAACAGCCTCCTGCCAGCCCCACCCTCACCAGGCCAGGCAAGCCCCGGAGCAAGTGGTCGAGGAGGAAGGACTTCCCTGAATGCTGCTCCCCCAGGACGGCGAGGAGGCAGACTGGGGTGTCCCTGGCCAGCGGGTGCTTCAGGCAGCGGTTGATGGCTCCCATCCTGAGGATGAGGCCGCCAGAGGCATTGATTCGTACCAGCAGCAGCCGTTCGGCCCTCACCGCACACACCTCCTGGGCAGGACAGAGCAGGGTTCCATGAGCCTCCCAATGGAACTCCAAGTCTGCAGTGTGTCCAGCCTGGAACTTCATGCCTGCCCTGACATTCTAGAATAAGGCCAAAGCTACTACCTGCCCTCCCTCTGTGAGGATCTGACCAGAGATCTTGGAGTACCCCAGCACCCCACTGCCCTGAAATGAGGCCGGGTCCCCACACCTGCAGTACAGGGGGTAGTGGCCGCTGAGGCAGGAGCTTCATCTTCTCCCCGAGGCTTCGGAGGCCTTTCTTCTGCTTGCAGATTTTCCGGCACTCAGGACAGCAGGGTGGCTCGCAGCCGTGGATGCGGTGTGTGCTGAAGCACCGGATGCAAAAGTCATGGCCACAGTCCAGTGAGATGGGCTCTCGAAGCCTTTCCAGACAGATGGAGCAAGTGGGTGGTTCCCGGGGTGCTGTGGGACGGGGCCCCAGGCCCAGCTCCAGCTTGGGGAATGGTGCATGGGACCTGGGGGTGGAGGGCAAGACAAACCATTGGAAATTAGGATGCTATCCTTGTTACTCAAGAGGCTGAGATCTGAGGATCAAGGATCAAAGCTAGCCTGAGCAGGAAAGTCCATGAAACTCTCATCTCCAATTAGCCAGCAAAAAGCTGACGTGGAGCTGTGGCTCAAGTGGTAGAGCACCAGCCTTGAATGGAAAAAAGCCAAAGGACAGCGCCCAGGCCCTGACTTAAAGCCCAATTACTGGCACACCCTCCCCAACAGAACAAAGCAGGATGTCTATTGGGTCTCAGATTTGGAGGCCATCCCAGACCTTCCCAGCTTTCCTTGGCCCTTCCGTGGCTGGACAAAGCAGTTCCCAAAGGGAACGAACTTTGTCCATTCCTCATTTCCTTGAACCCTAGGTCCTGGCAGCCCAGAGTGTGGGGGGTGGGAGGGGAGGTAGCAGAACAGTGAAAGTAAACCTAGATCTTCCATCTCAGGCATACAACCCAAGCAAGACCCATTCCCTGCCAGAACCCCAGTTCCTGTCCCAATGGATAGAATGGCTGGTCTGGGCATGGGCCATCTTCCAGGATGATGTACATGCAGCCTCATCAGCCCAGTGCCCAGTGTTCAGGAAAATCCTGTCCCCAGCCCTTTGACAGCAGGGGTCCCTCAAGTCTACATCCCCTTCCTGCTGGGACAGTCAGGAAAGGGTGGCCGCCACCTGGTGCCTGGGCATCCATTCTGTATCTGAGCAGATGGCTTCAGTTCTTGGAGGATTCCTTCAGCTCAGCTCAGAGCATCTGTCTCTCAGAAGCACCCACTCCATCCCCCTACACAGCCTGCTTGATCGGGCCTTGAACTTCCTCTCCTTGGGAGAGCCTTTCTGAGCCTTGGCCACCGCCCCACAGCCGCAGGAGTCCATGCTCCCAGACCAGCCTTTCCAGCTGACCTGCCAGCTCCACTGCACCAATCCCAGCCCCGCAGGCCCCTGCTCACCAACTGTTGCTGCTGTTTCCCATGAAGCTCCATTTTCTCTCCTTGAAGATAATAAATAAATAAATAAATAAAATCTAGAACAGAATCCAGACTCCTGGCTTCAGCCTGGGTTTTGAGAGCCCTTCCCCCACCCTCCCAAGGCCCATCCCCCATCCCAGGTAGCTCCTTCTCTCCCCCCCCTCACCCCACCCCCCACTTCCTCCCCAGATCTTAGGACTGAAGACTTGCCCGTTTGCCAAGCCGATGACAAAAGGAAGTGACAGACAAGGCGGGTCTCGGCATGAGAGGCTGGGATGGGAGAGGGTCTGCTGCGGAGAGTGGAGGCCACCGCGACTTCCTCCTGGAGGGCTGGCCGAGCTGGCAGGTGAAGGGTGGGGCTGGGGGATGGTTTCTCCTCAAGAGCTGACTCCCTGTCAGAGCTGGAGAATAAATGTGCCGGCTAGGTCGGGAAAGAGGAGGCTGCTGCTGGACTCACCCCAGGGGGAGGAGACAGGGCTGCGGGTACCAGGGCTCCAGAAGAGGGAGGGACAGAGCCCGGCTCTGAATCCCTGGCAGAGGCTGGGATGCAGGCACGCTGAGGTGGTGAGTCGCCATGGAGACGGGAGGGAAAGATAAGGACAGGGAGGGGGAGGGGGACAGAGAGAGGGAAGCCGTGTGGGTGTACCCACACAGCAGGAAAGGGCTCTGGGTGGGGACCATGGGCTGACACCACCCCTCCTGAGCTAGTTGGGGTCCTTCAGAGCCCACAGGGTGGGCAAAGAGAAGGGGGCCAAGGAAACTGGGACAGAAGACAACCCAAGCAGACCTAGAGACAGGGAGGCTAACTGGTCCATTCACTTGTATGACCTCCTTTGCCTGTGGACAGGCTGCATGCTACCCCCATGCTGCATGTAGCCCGGTACCTGTCACCCTCCTCTAGTTATGCAGCTGCTTCCTGTCCCATCTGCAGCCTTGCTTGGCTCTGTGTGTCTCTTGGTGTCTTTCCCTACCCCTGGCATTTGTTCCAATGCAAGATTGTGAAGATCCCTCTCTGGACCTTCTCCACCATCTCTGGACTGGACTCCTCCCCTCTACTGTCCACTGCACAGCCAGCATCCCTGCTCCCACCCCTGTTGGCCCTAGGCTACTCATACACCTTCCATGGTTCCCCAGCATCATTGATAATAACCCAAACTACCTGGCCTGCCTTCCCAGGCCCCACCCTTCCTCTATATCCTTTCCTCTCACCTCAGCCTGCGCTGCCTCTGCACCTCTGTCTGGAGTTCCCTCCACTAGCTCTCTGCATTCCTCTTCACCCCATCTGGTGCCTTGTTCAGGTGCCAGGTCTCCTGGGGGCCTCCTTAACTCTCCTTCCTGACTAGACATGGCTGGCCCTCTGGCGCTTGTGGCCTGGGAATCTAACTTATGGTAGGTAGCATGGCTGGTCTGGGCTCAGTTCTGAGCAGGGGGCCTGAGTACTTCACTCTACCCCTTCTCTGAGCTCCCAGAGATCCCAATGGCCAACATAAAGAGTTATGTGTGGCTGGGTGTCAGTGGCTCACACCTGTAATCCTAGCTACTCAGGAAGCTGAGATCTTAGGATCCTGGTTCAAAGTCAGCTTGAACAGGAAAGTCTGTGAGACTCTTATCTTCCTTATCTTCAGTCAGCCACCAAAAAAAAAGACAGGAATGGAGCTGTGGCCCAAGTGGTAGGATTCCATCTTTGAGCAAAAAAGCCAAATCAAGTGAGTGTGCAAAGCGAGGCCTTAAGTTCAAGCCCCTGTGCCTACACACCTCCACCCTAGAGAAAAAAAAAAAAGGTTTCAACTGCTTCATAGTTTCTAGGTATATGTCACATTATTTCTTTCAATCGAATTTATTCTGGCAAGTCATTCATTCATTTAGGATGAATACACTGATGAACTCTTAGTACTTCATGTCTACCACATGAAGGTGAACATGCAAGTACTGGGGTGAGCTTTCTGATAAGGGAGAAGCTGGAGGACCAGGCAAAGGCAGCTTGCTCAGAGCCAGGTGGCTGGAAAGGCCATAAGCCACAGCTGAAGGAGAAACATGAGGTAGCCAACGAAGGCCTGGGGATAAGCAGACATTTCTGGCAGAGATAAACAGCCTACCTGGAGTACAGTTTCTAAAGCTCAAAGTACGAGCATCACACTGAGATATATACACCCTCTTTTGACATTGTCCTCAGTCCCCAAGGACAATACTCTCTGCCAGGCTCAGGAAGTCTTGGTACTGGTGCTCAGTCTTTGATACTGACAGGTGTGGCAAGCTGGACAGGGGCTACCAAACCCCCAGCTGCCTTGGCATTCATGCCAACATTGGCTGCCTTCATGCCTGGATCTTTAGCCTGACCCAAAGGAACAGTAGTCTCCATAACCAGTGGCCCTTGACATTCTTTCCCTGGCCTTCGCCAAGCCTGGGTCTGGACCAGGACCCAATGAGTGACAACAGGGGCCGGATGATGCTAGGCCCAGGGGTCAGATCTTCAGGTATAGGAATAAGTCTTAGGGAAGTGGGACAAGAGCCACAGCCAGGGGCTGGGAAGGTAGCTCAGTGGTAGAGCACTTGCCTTGCATGCATGAGGCCCTGGGTTCAATTCCTCAGCACCACATAAGCAGAAAAAAAAAAGCCGGAAGTAGCATTGTGGCTCAAGTGGTGCTCTACCCAGAGTTCAGGCCCCACAACCGGACCCCCCCCCAAAAAAAAGAGCCACAGCCAGAACCAATAGTTGCACATTGAAACACTCATTCTATGTTTTAAGAAGGAAGTATGCCCACTTGTACAATTTCAAATAAAAAGACAGTTTGGTCTTTTTTTTTGGTCCTGAGCTTGAACTCTAGGCCTGGGCGCTGTCCCTCAGCTCTTCAGCTTAAGGCTAGTGCTCTACCACTTGAGCCACAGCGCCACTTCCAGTTTTTTCTGCTTATGTGGTGCTGAGGAATTGAACCCAGGGCCCCATGCATGCAAGGCAAGTGCTCTACCACTGAGCCACCTTCCCAGCCCTGATAGTTTGGTCTTTAAATTGGTTGTAGTTATGTTTCCCTTCCCGCTCCCCAGTATTAGAGCTTGCTCAAGGCTTTGCCTTCTCACTTGGCTTTTTTCACTGAAGGCTGGCATTCTGGCTTTTTTTTTTTTTTGTCACTTGTGGGGCTTGAACTCAGGACCTGGGTGCTATCCCTGAGCTCTTCAGCTCAAGGCTAGCACACTACCACTTAAGTCATAGTACCACCTCCGGTTTTCTGGTAGTTAACTGGAGATAGTCTCAAGGACTTTCCTGCCCAGGCTGGCTTCAAACCTCAATCCTCAAATCTCAGCCACTTGAATAGCTAGGATTTCAGGCATGAGCCACCGACGCCCAACTTTTTTTTTTTTTTGCCAGTCCTGGTGCTTAAACTCAGGGCCTGGGCACTACCACTTGAGCCACAGTGCCACTTCCAGCTTTTTCTGTTTATGTGGTGTTGAGGATTTGAACCCAGGGCTTTATGCATGCTAGGAAAGCATACTACCAATACCACTAAGCCACATTCCCAGCCCCCTGCCTTTTTTGTTTTGTTTTTTGCTGGTTCATTGGAGATAAGAGTATCATGGACTTTCCAAGTAGCTAGGATTACAGGTGAAAGCCACTGGCATCCAGCTTGTAGCTATGTCTTTTGACAGGATCCTGCCCCAGGAATCTAGAGGCTGTGTGCCAATGAGCAAGCTGGCTGCTGCCCCTCCTTCAGGCCTATGCTTGGTATAGAGCAGCCCAGAGCTCCCCTCACCCAGACTTGGGAGTCACAAGGTAAGGCACAACCTTGCAATACAATGGTGAGCTAACTGGGGAAAGGTGTTGGGGTGGGATTCCAGCACAGGGAATGGCATTGGCAAGGGCCTGGCAATGAGTCTGCAGATCAGGGTCAGTGTGGGTACAGAAGGGGCTGGTGAGACTGAAGAGCAGAAGGAGAGCTAGGGGACTGAGGTAGCAGTCAGCTGGGAACAGATTGTGGGGGACAGACAAATGGCATATTTGGGGGTTTATTTGTATGGTGCTGGGAATCATGCATGGTTTTTATCCAGGATGAATATGATCAGAGTTGTGCCTTTAAGCTCTAACTGAAGTGTTCATGGCCATTTAGAGGGGGGGATTAAAGGGGGCTCATCATCATCTTGGACAGCCATTGGGCATGAGGTACCTTCTAAGTGCTGGCCAAGTCCTAGTATCAGACGCTGGAGCATGGCTAACATTTTGTGGTAACAAGCGGTGCTGTGATGAATATCCCTGTGCCCACCCCACTTTCCTCTTGGGTGACTATGATTTAGGGCTGTTTCCTCCAACGCAGAGCACTATGAAACGTGTGGCTCTCTGCCAATTTCAGATAGATCAGTATTACTTCATTCAGTATTTCCATCTTGTTCTGGAATTTTAAGGTTTTCTGTCTGCCATGTTACCGAAAACAGACTTCTTTTTCATTTAGGATTTAGCCAGGCATTGGTGACTCACTCTTGAAACCCTAGCTATACAAAAAGCTGGGATCTAAAGGAACAAATTTCAAAGCCAACCTGGGTACAAAAGTCTATGAGACTGTGTCTCTGGAATAACCAGCAAAATGCTGAGCTGGAGGTATAGTTCAAGTGGGAGAGCACCAGCCATGAGCAAGAAAGCAGAATGAGAGTGTGATGCTCTGAGTTTAAACCCTGCTACTGACTGGCACATACAAGAAAGAGGAAAGACAGACAGACAGACAGAAAGGAAGGAAGAAAGAAAGAAAGAAAGAGAGAGAGAAGGAAGGAAGGAAGAAAGAAAGAAAGAAAGAAAGAAAGAAAGAGAAAGAAGGAAGGAAACAAAGACAGAAGGGAGGGAGGGAAGGAAGGAAGGAAGGAAGGAAGGAAGGAAGGAAGGAAGGAAGGAAGGAAGGGAGGAAGGATGAAGGAAGGAAGAATGAAGGAAGGAAGAAAGGAAGGAAGAAAGGAAGGGAGGAAGGGAGGGAGGGAGGGAGGGAGGGAGGAACTGTTACCAATTGTCACATGCAACATGAATATGTGGATACTTCTGCCAAAAGCCAGCCATTTGGCTCCCTGCTTAAAGAAGACACAGCCCAGCTTCAAGTCTGGCAGATCCTGCCTCATAGAGCTAACAGTAACTCCCAAGGTCCTCACCAGACTGGCAGTGGTCAGAGAGGACCCCACAAAGAACAGCATTTGCAGAGTACCTGCAGAGAAGAGGAAACAGTAAAAAGGGACGATGGAGACTCCAGGTAGAAGATAGATCTAGGACACTTCCAGCCTGAGAAGCTTCCAGAATATTAATAAAAGATGTATGTCTGAAAAGGTTAGAGATGCTGTGATGGT